TAAAAAAGGGGGGAGAGATTGAGGAGGACACAAGAAAATGGAAAGATACTCCTTGCTCTTGAATAGAAAAAGCCAACATAGTGAAAATGGTCAGACTCCCAAAATTACTACAAACATTTAATGCAATCCCAATGAAGACACCATTAGCATATCTCATAGACCTAGAGGAAACATTCCTGAAATTCTTTAGGAACCAGAAAAGAGCTAGAATAGCACAAGCAATTTTAGACAACAAAGGCAAATCCAGGGGCATCACAATCATAGTCCTAAAATTATACTATAAAGCTAGTGTGATAAAATCAGAATGGTATTGGCAAAAAAATGAAAAAAACTAGGCCTGAGGATCACTGGAACAGAACAGAAGATGCAGATGCATTTCCAAAGATACTCACCTACCCTATCTTTGCAAAAGAAGTCAAACACTGGAGGAAAACAGTCTTTATAATAAAGGTACTGGAAAAAGTAGCTTCCACATGCTAAAGACTAAAGCCAGACCCATATCTATATCAAACTGATCAGAGATCTAAATATTAAAATAGATACACTAAATCTACTGGAAGAGAAAGTAGGCAGAGGTCTCGGATACACAGGTGTAAGCAGAGATTTCATGAACAAAACCCAGACTCTAGGGAAAATAGTGAAAACAATCAACAAGTGGGATATCACCTTACTAAAAAAACTTTTGCACAACAAAAGAAATCACCAATAAAGTGAAAAGACGTGTCACAGAGTAGGAAAAATTATAGCCAGATGTCCCACAGACAAATGACTTATATCCAAAACATATAAAGAATTGAAAAAAATCAGTCTCCCCCAAATTCAAACACCAGTCCAAAAGTGGGCACTGGAGATGAATGGGCACTTGTCAGATGGAAAATACAAATGGTAAATAAAAACATGAAAAAATTTTCAACATCACTGGTAATTCGAGAGATGCAAATTAAAACAACACTAAGATTCCATCTCATCCCAGAAAAAATGGCTATTATCAATAAATGAACTGATAACAAATGCTGGAGGGCCAGTAGAGAAAAAGGAACCCTTTTCCACTAGTGGTGGGAGTGAAGACTGGTACAGTCACTGTGCAAATCAGTGTAAAGACTCCTCAAAAAATTGAAATTGTGAGTCCTACTTGACACAGTTATTCCCCTTCTAGGTATCTTCCCAGAAGAATTAAAATCATCATACTACAGTGATATATGTACACCCATGTTTATAGCAGCACAATTTTTAATAGCTAGATCTTGGAAACAACCCAGATGTTTATTAACTAAAGAATGGAATATATATATATATACATGAATCCTACTAAGCCATAAAAAAGGATAAAATGGAGCCTTTTGTAGCTAAGTGGATGGAACTTGAGGCCATACTCATGAGAGTGAGATTAATCAGACTCATGTGTAAACACAGCATTGCCTCACTAGTGCGAAAAAATGAACAAGTAGACAAGATCTGAACTATACAATAGTTCTTGTAAATTGGGAAGAAATTGTTCAATAGAAAAGACAAACTGGGATTGGAAAGGGGAAACTCAAGAAAGGAAAAAATATATATGTACATATAAGATAATTAAGTTTGTTATACTGCTAATTTTTGTTAGTGCATTAAAAAGGTTTTGTGCTAGCATTTTATAGACAAGATAGCATGCCTATATGTTCTACTCTGAATAAATACTAGTAATGCAGCAATAAAGAATGCATTAACTATTATAACCATCCTAATAACCTGCTTTGAAAGTCAGTTTCATTGTTATGTCTATCTTTTTTTTAAAAGGAAAGAACTGGGATGGGGAAAGAAGAACAGGAAGAGAATAAGATAGCTAAGATAATGGTACTACTAATTTCTAGTGGTTTATTGAAAGGAACAATTAATGTTTAATTATTTGCTCAATCTTATATTCACGTATCCGGTAATCTGAGCAATTTTGTTGAAGATAAAAATATGTAATATCACAAACACTTAATTCCTTATCATCTTATTTTGAAATCTGTTTTGTTTTTACTGTTTTTGTGTGGTTTTATTTTTGTCTTTGCTGGGTTTTTTTTCTCTCTCTCTTGAAACACCAAAACAGAGGGCCAGCCAAATAGCTCAGCAGATTAAAGTGCCTACAAGCAGGCACGGGGGCAGGGGTTCCATCCCCAGGCCTGCAATGCTGGCCCTGCCCTCAGGGCATGCTGAGATGGCAATTGAGGCTGGGAGTGGTGACCCGCACCTGTAATTCCAGCGCTTGGGAGGCTGCAAACAGCAGAATCACTGAGTCCAATCTAATAGTGAGACCCTGAACACCCTGTAGGCCCTTCCCTAAAATACAGGAGGAGAGGAAGAAGGAG